TGATATCTCATGAAGTACTAATCTTAAAAACACTCAAACTTATTCCAAAAAGCTTGAAAGTTAACAGAAACGGTTTTGACTTCTATTGAGTTGAATGGTTGTACAGAATAGAAATTTCGGGTTGTCACACCAGACTTGTTTATAGCAGCGAACTTCGAGATCGAAGTCTGATTCAAGTGGGGGAGAGTTGTAACGCCAGTGTTCCAGGTATTTTCATATTTAGCTTGGTCCATTAAAATTTAGCAAATTTGGTCCCTACGTTGGGCGTATGAGATAGGTACACCATGCGTAGGTCAATAAAAGTATGATCACATTTTCCTTGCATACGCTGGGTGTACTCATGCAGAGGGTAAACCCTAAATTTTAGGGTTCGGACCCTATTTAAAGGACTTTAAGGCCTTAAACCCTTCCTTACCTCCAGCCTACATCCCTCTTAGCCCCCATCTCGAAACCATAATTCTTGTGTGTGAGTTTTGAAGCTCTTGAGTGTTATTTTGGTTTTCTTTGTAGTGAAGGAAGATCTTTTAAGAAGTGATGTTGCTCTCAAGCTTTTGGATCCATATTCCTCACATCTTTGTGCATCTCGAGGAGGTATAAAGTTTAAATCTTGATACTTTCCTTGCTAGATCTTGTTAGGTTGCAAGTTATGACATTTTGTCCAAAAATCGTGGTCTAATGAGTATGGTCTACTCCAGACCATTTGATTTGTTCTTTTAGGCATTTCTGAGTGTTTGATGACACAAAAATGCAAGTTTGGCCCTTTGTATTCATCCATGCGAAAGTTATGGGGTTTTAGATGGTAATATAAGTTAGGGCTTTAGTTTTGTGCTCCTTGTAGCCATGAAAAGGCATAAAGGTTACAACTTTATGATTTTAGACATTCATTAGAGTTAGATCTAAAGTTTGGACGTTATGTCCTTAAGCATTAAGACATTAAATGAGAGTTTGGACTTTAGGGGATTACATTGGGCGTAATCCTAAGTACGTTGAGCGTTGTGGGCTGTGGCCCCGCAACCCCTCCTAGACCGAGTTGTACGTTGGTCGTAATAAGGGGTATGTCGGGTGTACTCTCAGAAAACCTTTTGGTCCATATTTGGGCCTTATCTAGTTGGGTAATGTATGGGAAGGGAAAAATGGTATTTTTCCCTTAGTAAGTTAGAGGATGAATTGGACCTTCGATTATGGGGTTAAAATCCTGATTATTAATTAGAGTTGATTTTAGGTTATGATCAGTGTGAGTAGCCATAGTAGCAGCATCCCAAGTATATGATTCGGATATCTTCAGTTGAGGTGAGTCTTCTCACCACACTAGTAGGTCAAAGGTACCAATGTCGGCCCCACTGATTTGTATGTGTATGATGTATGTGATTATGTGACTATTACTGATATGATTGTGTGAATTATGCATGGAGCCAATATGGGTTCGGATTCATTATGGACTCGGGGTCGATATGGACCGGGAGGTTGATACGGACCCGACACAGCTGTGTGTTGTTATATTTATATGTATGATGTGTATGGTATTTTGGGAAACTCACTAAGCTTTTTGCTTACGGTTTAAGTTTATGTTTCAGGTACTTTCGGTTCAAAAGGGAAGGGTTCGGCCTGATCGCATCACATCCACCCATGTTCAGCATTTTTATGATCTTTGGGATTGTGCTCTGATAAGTATTTTCACATTGATATACTTTTGCTGGGTTGATATGGATATTTGATGATTTCTAATTGACTTAAAATGAAATTTTTACTTATGAATTTTGGGTCGTTACACATTAAGGGTAGAGCGACATGTGTAAGCGATAACCTGAAAAAGACAAAAAAGTGAAAGTAAATCAAATTGAATGGTAAAATATAAATAATGTACAACGTAATACAAGCATCATACTTCGAGAACCTACAAAATGATACAAACAAACGGGATAAGTCAAGGGTAATGAAGTAAAACACAAATAATCAAAAGACAATCATATGAGCCAGAAGCATGTATGAATAACAAAACTCAGAGAACATAGCATAAAAGGAAGTGATGCTACCCATCTACCCTGATGTTTAGCCTCCACACCCTAATATCTAAGGTTGTCTTCGGAAAGAACAAGTTCATCTATGTCTAGCTTCATAGTATCATCCGACTTCATTTTAGGGCATCTCCTCCTTTTATGTCAATCATCATTGACTATATCCTCCTTAGTGTCGTTGATGGTGGTCTCCATTAGACATGTCAATAACTGCACACAACAAAAAAAAATGAAAAGGAAATTTATAATCTTGATTTTAGAATTGTATAGCTATTTATCAAAAGAAAAATAATAAAATGAAACTGATAGGTGCATTTTATTTACTTATTTTTATAATTTAATTTAGCATATTTTGTTTTATTTTTAGTTAATCAGTATGCATATTTTTGTTTTATTTATTTTTATCTGTATCGGAAAACTTCATAGTCATTGTGCTTAATTTTCAGATTTTTTGAAGACTTTGTCGAGCGAGATGATTAGGGATTGCGGAAATTAAATGGACTTTAAGATTGAATAATATTGGAACTGATGACATTTGAAGACGGTGCAAAATGGGCTAGTTGGTGAATGAAGATTAGAAGTAAAAATATATTTTGTGTTAAATAATTTTTAAAGACTTGAAGTATTTGATAAGGATTTGGCTCATTTTGGAAGTGGACTAATATTTTGTTTGGGTTTATGAGGATGATGGAAGCACAAGACTCAAGACTAGAAGCATTTTGGTGAGAATGTCAAAGCAACTCAAAGTTAATAGTGGATCTAAGTGACTCGTGCGTTCCGTGTAAGTCTAGCCTCTTGTTCGTGTGAACCCAACATGGGTAATTCTTTTGGGAGTTTGTTAGATAAGGTTTTGAGTGTTTTCTAAAGCTTTTGGGAGTTTTGTTGAAGATTATAGAACATCAATTTCATCTCAATTTCATCTTGTTAATATTTGGTGTCTCTAAACTATTTCTCTTTTGTTAAAACTTAACCATGTTATGCTTAATAATTATTGGTTGATGTTGACATAACCCATGAATAACTAGTTATATTGAATGTATTTATGAATTCGTGGTTGAAAGCTATGGAAGCATTTTATAGTGAAATATCTATTTATGTTTTTTTTTCGAAAGAGAGCATTTATTTATAATGAAACATTTATTTATATTTATGTCTTTAATCATGAGTTTAGATGTTTAAAATGTTTAAGTCATTGGTTAATTTTTTGACTAAGTAATAGATCTTCAAATTAATAAGCAACAATGATTTATTTGTTTGTGTTCATTTCACTCAAGTCATGAAATTATTTTCTCCAAAATAGTAATGAAATGATTTTAATTTCCTCTTGTATTTAGTGACTATTAAACTTTAATACTAGTTGAATTTCAAAAATTATATGTTTCATTTATTTGTGACGTTGACTAAGAAAATATAATATGTTATAAGCTTCTCTAACTATTATATTAATTAAGAAGAGTCTAGGTAACTTAAGCTTTTAAGTCACCATAGTGAAATTAAATTAAGTCGAGTATAGCACCATAACACCTGATGATAAATTAACTAGATATCTATCTGGTGAAGATATAAAGAAAGGTTTGCATAATGAACAGCTCCCAATTTGAAGTCTTGAAATCAATTAATAAAATATGGGTTAGATTAGCGTGAAGTCTTGAAATCAATTAATAAAATATGGGTTAGATTAGCGAGTGGAGCTCATTATGCAAACCTTTTTTTTTATATCTTCATATTGTTTCGAATAACTGAAATGAAGCATCAAAACATGAAGATGCTTGGTAGTCTTACATACACAAATGCTTGGTAGAGTCTTAAATAGCTTAAAACCAGCTTCTTCTATAGAGAAGTAATTTGGTGAATTAACATTTGTTTTTATTAAACAGCCATGCTAGCTATAATCATTAATCACGGATTCCCATGCATATTAAAAGATGAGTATTTACTATTACTAATGTCATATCTTGAAGACTAAATAAAACACATAAACCTTTGTTAATTTAGATCCCAAAGTTTTTGAGTAGCTAAAATTGCTTCAGTTCAAACACAATACGGCTGCATTCATTAAGCAGATATAGCATCTTATCAGAAATGTCAACGCCTCCTTGGTTCACCTCTGCTGCTGCTGCTTTCTGATACTTGTTTGCATACGTTGTTTCTTGATTCACCTGCTGCATATGTGAAGAGGTAACAAGAGCAGTTTCCTTGCTGCCTTCTTTTGCTTCTTTTATGCTGTTGCCAAAAGGATGTAATCTGTAGAAGACGTGAGTTTGACCAAACATATTCTTGAACTTGACCACATGCTCGTAGGCTTTCTGGGCATCAGGCTTGTTCATAAAGACCACCTGGCATCTTGATTTGAGATAACTGACATGAACACCTGATATCTCCATTGGCCCAAATTTAGCAAACTTGGCTTTCAGTTCTGAAACTGATGGTAGGGCGGCATCTGGAGGGAACTTCATTGATAGGACCATTTTCGGCCCCTTTTCCACTATGCTAATGCCACTCTTCTCTTCTTTCTTTCTTTCTCTTTCTCTTTTGGAAGACAACACCAAAGCCAATTTCGGACACCCTATACTGCTGACTGATCTCCTTCTCTGCCTCTTCTTCAATGGCAGCTCACGTTTTGTGGTTGTGGTTGTGGTTGCGGCCTCAGGTTGAGGTTGCTGCTTATCATCACTGGTGGTGGTGGTGGAAATGATATCCAGCTTTTTATCAATAATCTCAACCTTCACCTGTCTCTTCTTCTCGGGAACATCATCTTGAGAATCATGATGCAGATTCCTTTTCACCTTGTGACTTGTTTTAGTAGCATTTGGTTTTGGGGTTGCAAGGCGTCTTTTCTTTTTATTTTGGAGTTTGATTGTAGGCTTTTTCTCATCATCAACTGGAGCTGGAGCTGCAAATCATACCAATCAACAACCAGTAAGGGTTGCAGAGCCCAGAAAGTCATAAACTCATTTTAAATTTAGCAAAGTTGATGAAACATGCTTTAAGTTTAACGTAGGCCCCATCTTACTATGATTCAATCACTAAAAGAAACTGATGGCATGATTATGCTCCTTACGTTAGAAAAATAGGATTTTAGTTCAAGTAACCAAGACTTGTATGTATACACTATACAGCATCTTCTTCTGATATCCATCATTCTTGAGTCTTGACATAAAACAAGAGACCACCTTCAAGTTTACAGATTAAACCAAGGATTTCCTTGTAACTTCAAAACTATCAAAATTTGTTTCAAGGGAATGGGAGTAATGATAAGTAAATTAAACATTACATACATGGTATAACTATAATTAAAAAACATCTACATCAACCTTCAACATAAAATTTACTATATCTGAATTTGCAAACTCAAAAATGATAGCAAAGAAGTTGCCAGATATTGTCTTCTCATGATTATAAAATAAGTAAAAAGCAAAAATTGTGGATAAAACATGAATTTAAGGGTCAAACACTTTGGTTAATATATTCAAGTAAATGAATCTAATCAACTAACAAACAAATGTCAAACTTGTTAAGTTATTCAAAGCCTGCATAAAAAACTGTTAATGTAGAAGCAATGCAAGTAAAGTGAGATAGCAATCAAGTGGAATAAGGAATGTAAGAAAAAGTAGGAATGTCATCCAAGTATATAGCTATTGTATATCAGTATATCTAAGTTTTAAATTATTTGCTTGATAATTATTGTTACATGTACAGATGCATGAACAATTGAACATGAAAACAAGAACTGAAATAAGAGTGTTAATTAGCAATAATACCTTGAAGTAAAGTTGTCTCCTGTTGATTTGAGGTCATGCTAGGATCTACCAGCCCTTGAGGATGCACCCCAAATGCAAGAAAATAAGGTTCATCAATCTCTGCATATTTTGCTTTACGAAAAGCAAGAACTCTAGCTACCTCCTTTAAAAGGCTAGGATCCTGATGCACATTTGTGGGATCCAAAGCCAATTGCTGGACAAACGAAAGTGTTTGAAGTGGTTGGAATTCTTGTCTGAACCCTTCAATCTGTTGCACTGAATAAACCCCTCCAGTGCTATATCCATCAATATCAACTTCTAGAAAACCTTCTACAGGTGCAGGTCTATACGATGAAAAAAATAGGCAAGGACAAGTCAATCCTAGAGCAGCTCTGTGATTGATCTCATAAACTGCTTCATTCACGGCTTTCAAGAATAAACGAGAACTAGATCGATTTGAATACATGCTAAAATTCGATTCAAAATGAAGGAGTTTCTTTGGATCTAACCAATTATAGGAATTATCGCCAAAAAATGAAACAAGCATCAAACCTTCTTTATTTGCTTGTTGAACATGACTACTTGTTAGGGCTTCATCGTAAATGATGCTAGGCCACCAAGGGTAACAATTAACTTTCGCCCAAACCAAATCTCCCACATTGAATTGCTTCTCCTTCTCCTTCTCCATGAATCTTTCTCTGTTTCTCAAATTGCTAAGTAGTTTAAAGCACCCATGTTTCATGTTGTACAGCGATACCAAACAACTCCTTTCAAGGCCTTGTCATCACAACCAATCAGAAAGTGACACGTTGCACCAAGGGTCCTTCACTTTTCAAGAAATCTTTGTATGAAACATGAAGAGGTTCTTCCCGTGATTCGAACCACTCACCTATGGCCACAATGTCCGTTCTAATTCCAAAACAAACCCTCAATTTCTTGAACTCAACATTTAATGATTTCACTACACACCCCAAATTACTACCACCATAATCAATTTTACAGTTCAAGGCTCCACACTTAAGTTTCCTATATAATTCCATTGAGTTATCACATGACATCTCATAATAATCACCATAAAGAACTAAACCTCCATCTCATATCAAACCACCTAGATAGCATACCTACTTAACCCAAGTTGAATAGGAAACAATCGACGGAATGAGCACATTTAACACTTTCTATCAAGTCCTTATACTAGATAATATATCACAAATCTCTCTCGGATTATACATTTTTACCATTTATTGTTATCAACTAATAATACAAATACCTAAATAGAAACTTACTTGAAAGCAAAATCATCTCTTTGATGTTAAAAACACAAAATGATGATGATATCCTATATACAAAGCAAATGGAACTCTTCTTCATAATATGCATTTAAGTCAGATAACATCTTATCTTAAATTAGGACTAAAAATGAAAGAGAGAGAGAGAGAGAGAGAGAGAGAGAGAGAGAGAGAAACAAGCAAAAGCACTGTTTTCTAAATAGAAACTTCTCACCTCTTAAGAGGATAATTCCAAGTGAAAGCAATAAGATTTGGAAGTCTGCAAACCCTGAAAACCCTATGTATATGTTACATTCATTATGAGCTACCCCATGAAAACATCAATTGTTGATGACAAAAGTCACCGAATTCGAAATCACAATAAAACCATCAACGGCTTCTCCTAGTCCTTCTTCTTCATATGTTTCTTAGTTTTAGTATGAAAATGCAATCAGATCCGCACCCAGAATGCGGAGAGTGGCAAAATAGAGAATTCAAACCTACCAATTCTAAAAGAGATGTCGATTTCATCGTATATAACTATGGAAGGTTTTCTAGAAGTTGAAATTCCTGGATTTGAATCCAGAGGGGTTTACACAATCCGGAACCAGTTCAAGCGCTTTCATTTCTACTGGCACTGGTTTTGTGCCTTAAGAATCAGGATCTTAACCTTTTAAAAGGGAGTAACTCTCGCCGACGCAATTCCAGGAAAGAAGTCGATTTCCACGTCGTAAGACGCCGCACCATGACCGTCAGCCACAACACCAGCATCTCAATTCTCAACGCTTGTGCCCTCATGGCTTACCTAACTTATTGCCAAAAGCCCAAAACAACAACAAAAATAATAAAAATAAAATGTGTTTAAAGTCCAATAAAGTAGATGATATAACCATTAACTATCAGTTTTGATCTTATTTGGTCATGTAATTATCTTTTTGAATATTATGCACTCATTGTATTTCAAAAAGCATTCATTAAAGTTATTCTTATAAATAAAGTGATCACCCGGTGACATTGATTACGTGGCTATATCAATAAATTTTGTGTCGTTTTCTTGGCCACACGTGTTAATCAACATGGAAAACAAATACCACGTTTAAACACGGATAAATCCAATACTTTCCAATTCGATTCATTTTTGTGTACAAAAACATTCTTTATGGATTAGAGCTTATTTTTGCACGTGATCTTCAAAAAAATTGTGTGTGCATAATGATGAATGGAAATCCAGATGTTGTGTACAAAAAAAAAAACTTTATCGATTAGAGCTCTTGGGAGTTATCGGTTTATTTTTGGTGTGGTCTTCAAAAAACTATGTGCATAATGATGAATGAAAATCCAAATGCTCTATGTCTGAAAGTTGATTAACTTCAATAGAGTCTTTGTACGTCGTCCTCTCACATATTCTGATGACAATCACTTCTTATTTTATTATCAAGGATAAACCTCATATTTTAGTTTTTTTTTTTTTTTTTTTGTCATCTAGGCAAAATCATATTATTTTAAAGTATTATGAAGTTTTTATATCGTAAAATATTCATCATCATCACTATATTATTAAGGTTTAAGCACTTCAACAAATGATAAGATTACAAATAGAAAGTAATAATGCAAACAAAAGACAAGAACATAGTCTTTAACATGGTTCACACGATCATAATGATCGCTATGCCCATAGCCGAACAGGAGAGATTTTACACGAATTCAGGCGATATATTTGTATAAGCAAAAGACCTAAAATCTATCAATAAAACCAATTCTATAAACTCTGACAAATCTGAGTCATGATGTATTTTGATGTCGAATTTGATAGCCCAAGAAAAATTTCTTCCTGCCAACCCATGTAAGTTTGATTCCACATTACCCAAGTTGTAAAAGAAAATTATTGATAATTTGATATAATTTCATACAAGACTATAAATGAGTCTGTTTGATTCTATTGTATGGTATGACTAATTATAAATTATGTGTTTATACATGGAAAATAGAATAAAAGGGTAAATCGTCACAAGTTCTATAAGGCTTACTAGTTTTATACTTCAAGCAGCTCAACTCAACTTAAATCTTAATTGATATTCCCAAATTGGCTCGACTTTGGACTTTGGTTTACAGGATAACCAAATATTTAAGTTCGATTTGGTTATTTTATATATAGAAACCGAACCGGGCTGAAATACCCAAAAGGCCAAAACTTCAAGGCATACAATACTACAACATACATATGAAAATGTTTAGCTAAAATGTACATAAATGTTTGTCCAAAAGAAAGAATTTCCAAATCCAAAAAGCATGCAAAGATTCTAACAAGCTTACAGTATAAAATACATGACATGACTAACTGTGTAGAGGTGGTGACACACACACACACAACTATTATGGTATATGCACATGAGACTTTATTTTAAAGAACATTTTTATAAAATGAACTTCTATTCAATTCCGCTTCAATTCCCAGCTGGCAATGACCCCATCCCATGATGAGCTGCCAATCAACGGATCAAACGGATGCCAACTGCAATCTCTTACAATTTGGTCATGGTATTTCAGCCTTGCTACCTGAGCTCCACTCACCTAATTAAATCAAAAGTGTTCTTAAAAATATTAATACACATCTCTTACATGTAATTCAATATATATACTCAAAATTAACTTACCATATCATAAATATAAATGTGGGCATCAGCAGATCCAGTGTATATGTACTTTTGCCCAGTGCTGCCAACAGATTACAATTATATTACAAACTATATTAACTTTAATCAATCAATCAATAATAATCTGGTAACTAAATAAAAAGTATACCTGTATGATGGTGAGAAGTAGCATCGTATGAGTGTTCGCAAGACTCTGTGACCTCTATATGTACACACTGATAAATCATTTGGATGTTTTCTGTTTCTTAAATGTGATGGGTATTCCATCCATCTATAATCCCACTCAATGTGTCTAGGAGGGGCTATACTAATATTGCTGCATCAAAAGAAAACATATTGCTACTTTCAACACTTCTAAATCAGTAAAAGACAAAAAGGAGGCATATGTATATACCTGCGTGCATTTGAGGACATTTTCCTAATATCCCAGAGTTTAATAGCCTGATCTTTTCCATTTGAAATCAAATAATGACCATCTCCATGACTATCAATGAATGTAATGCCTTCAAGATGTCCAGTCAGAACACCAGATTCTATTCCTCTTGTCCCAAGGCATCTTCTATCCCATACCTAAACTACAACATACTTAGATATGCACATACATACATACATACATACATATGCAAAAACTAGAAGAATTTACCTTACAAAGGTGATCATCACTCCCAGAATATAACACATGACCAGCTTCATCAGCAAAGCAAACAGCATTAACATCAGACTGCAAGGTAAACATGCCATAAACCATCAAAACAGAAAAGAAGCCCAATTCTTCAAGATGATCACAACTTTAACTTGATTCTTTGTAGAGCCTTTAAGAGTATGAATAATAAATAATACTTGTGATACAAAATGCATATTTCATAATTCATACCCTGTGTGCTGGTATGCGAACATTTAACTTGTTGGCTGCAAGATCATAAACATATATTGAATCATCACTACTTGCTGCTACAAGCTCTCGCCCATCAGTCGAAAATTTTACAGAGAAAATCCCAAATGAGTAATCATCTTCCTCATCATCATCATGACCAGAAAAATCCAGACCTTCATGTATCTCCTGCATACAGACAACACTTCAACTCAACCCCATTTGAAAAAACAAACAGAAGTGGTAAGCAAAAAAAAAAAAAGATTGTTACAAATACATACAGTCACATTTGCAACAGACTCGGTCATAGCTGATCCAATGTTCACAATATGGACAATAGGGGACATACTGGAATAAACCTGCAAGAATAAGAATGTCAGTGAGAATGAAACTGGAACATCAATTCATGTTCTTGAAAATCAAACAAAAATCATACTACAGAGTACAGATCATGAGCATCAATTAGCAAGAAAACATCCTTACTATATGTCCTGAATTTATATGTTGTTTCTAAGTTTCAGTGTTTGCAGAGACTTACAAGAAAACGTTGGTCAGGTGAAAGAGATGTATCTGTTATTGTCCACCTTAAGCTTCTGGCCCGGATGTTTTTTTTAACTTTCCAACCATTGTCAACATTATATATCTTAATATCACTATCCTGTACATGTAGAAAATAACAATTATTATTACAAGATCAAAAGAAGAAACAGTAGGGTTCCATTGGAGATGATTGCATATCGTACCTGAAATCCTGCAACAAAAAGAGTCCCATCTGCTGAAAACTGTGAGACATAAGCACAACTCGTCATTCTATCGATCACAGAAGGACCATTAACTGGTAAATATCTGCTCGAGAGGTGACAACGATCTGCAGACGTGAATCTACTTCTCCCGGAGTAATTACCCTCTCGACCTGCCAACATTTTAACTGGGGAAATAGGCATTCCTT